ATTCGAACCATTACTCCCATTAAATTACGAGCTCCGATAGCCAAGCTCCGATAGACGCTACCTGGGCCCTGCTTAGGAAGCTATGTTTGAGGTTCCTTTAAAAACTATAATAAGGTTTTTTACGGCCCGTTTTTTACAGACAGTATTGAAAAAAGTATATTTTGAAAGTCTTTGACTAAAATCTTAACCCCTTTACTCCCCGATCAAATTCCGCTCCGCTCCTCGTTACTTGGGCCTTGCGTTGGACCCTTGGGCCACGGGGTGTGGATAGGTGTGTGCGGCTGGATGAATAGGGATCGGCACCCCTCCCTGCCCTTCAGAACTGCCCTCCTATAGAATGTGCCCAACGGATCGTGACTTAATTGAAGTCACCGGATGCGATAATTGGACCGAGCAGAGACATGAAAAAGCTGGCGGGGGTCTGGGGTTCATTCTGTTGCTCCACGGGGGGCTACGGTAGCTGTGGGTGGAAACGTAAGGATTGGCAGTGATCCGGAATGATACGGAATGGTACGGAATGGAAGTAGTGATCCGCAATGGTTCGGAAAACTCCGAGATGAGACCAAAAATCTGGAATCAACCGGTTGATCCGGAATATTACGAAAAGCTCCGGAACGCAAATGATTGTATCCAAATGATACGGAAAAATCCGGATACGATCAAACTAACTGGTACGAAACGAAAGCTCCAGAATTGCCCCGAAGGTCCAAAACTATTCAGATAGCACCAGTATAATTCGGAAAGTTCCAAAGTTCACAGAAAAACCAACCTCATGTCAAACTCGGCGGTTCCGGGTAGTGGCAACGTCATCGGCTTGTACTCGATTGGCGTGGCAACCTTAGGCTCGGGCGGGGGAGTATCAGCGCTGGAAGAGCTGGAATGTCAGGAATTGTATAGAAAAGGGACTTGGGTTACTGTAGCTAGACACAAATTACTTACCCGGATTGAGTCCGACTCTGACAACGCTCGCCGGTGAGCATCATCCCATTCTTCGAGGCGGCTCGGTCTTTGGCACGGCGGTTCTTGAACCACACTTGGACCACCTGAAATTGAGGGTTAAAGCGAAAAGAGAGTTTAATAACTATAATTAAACCACCGAATTTTTAATTCACAAGGAAAGTTTCAAGAATGACAAATATACTGTCTCTAAGTTGACTCACCTGCGTGTTCACTTGAGCCCTTCCTTCCGGCAGCTGTATCTGACGAGCCAGCTCCTCGCGCTTGTACAAATCCGGATATTTCGTTTGCTTGAACACATTTTCAAGGTGTTCAAGCTGCATCCGGTTAAAGGAAGTGCGCTCGCGACGTCCGCGGAGTGCGGCATTTCTGCAAAAAGGTCAATTTTTTGAGATCCGGATACCGTAACCGACCAGACCGCCAGCTTAATTAGCCTCTAAAAAATTGCTAGTTATCAAATAATCAGGATTTTTTGGCAGGGTTACTGTAGGTAGCCTCCAAAAATAATCAGGCCGAAAATTGTCAATTTTAAGCTGAATTACGGTAGGTCGTCATGAGAGTTCTCGTAATTTGCATCCAAAAATTTTCTAGTTGAGATTCTGGCTTACTAGGGAGGTATCTGAACTCGGCATCGAACCTTGAGAAGTCAGATACACCATTCGACGCGCCTTGTCGAGGGGATTCCAAATATGTAATAAAATCAACCAGAGCGTATAACCGTAAAAAGTTATGAGCATTCGAAGTCGACAAAATGATGAAAAACAGTATCTTTGAGACCCTGTATCAACCCGCGGAATGGAATTTAGCCTAAACTGATTAGTGCACCTTATTGAACAAAGAAAGCTCTTTCAAATGAGCTATGTTACATACGGCTGCCAAAAATTTCCGTAAAAAAATATTTTTGGAATGTGGCGTAAGGGTAAGGTATGGACAGCTTGCCGAAGACGTTCGAGAATTTCGCGTAAAGCCTATGTAAGATAGCCCCATCGAAAGAGAATTTTTTGCTGATCAAGATGTACTGTTCTATTTTCGACAAATTACATTCTTCGAATTCGTACAGAGTCTTAAAAGGACGGTTTTTGATGATTTTGCCAACTTTGATATAGAGAGCGTCCAGTCCTGGTCTTGTTGCCCGGGGTTATTTTATCATCGCTGGTGCCTTTTAGGGGTCACACAGTCAAGAAAAACTTATTCCCGAGTTTGGAAATGCAAAAAGTAGGAACTGGTCGAAAAGCAAAAAATAAAAATCGTGAGTGGATCCGAACCCTGGTCCTACAGACCGGAGACCCATGCGCACACCACTAGGCCACGGGGCCGATGGACAGGGTGCGCTGGGAGGGGCTCATATCGCCGCGGCGCATTTCGCTGCAAAACTTAAAATGCTCATAACTTTTTATCGTTATAGGCTCTGGTTGATTTTATTACATATTTGGAATCCCCTCGACAAGGCGCGTCGAATGGTGTATCTGACATTTCAAAGTTCGATGCCGAGTTCAGATACCTCCCTAGTTAGATAGGCAATAAAATTGATAAAATCTGCAAAATCCCACAAAAATCAATACTACCAGGCGGCAGCCGAATGCGATAGTCGCGATGCCGTCTGGCATAATATCCCAGCTTAGCCCGGGCGGACTATAAAATCCCGAACAAATAAATCCGGGCCTTGCCCCCACCGGGTCGATGATCCAAATCCAAATCCGGGTCGTGGAGGATCAACACCCACAAATCCCCCATAGATTGCCTTGATCTTTTTGCATATAGGTAAATCCGCCGGAATGCTGGCAGATTTTTTTAATGCCAGTTGTGTTAATGTTAATTAATTCGCTACATTTATGCAAATTGGTTCAAAGCCCAAGTTTAAATGTATTTTCAAATTGCACTGTGTATTTAATGACTCTTAAGGTGTCTGTCAGGCCTTCCCGGCCCCTTAAAAAGGTATAAGATCTCAAAAACGAACCGTTAAAGACGCTAATAATTACGATTATGATTATTGTGAATTTAGCATCCATTTATTCCATTGATTCATCAACCTTTATGCAAATTAATTCGCTATCTCGCTACTGCTTATACCACACCCTTCCCCCAAAAGGTGTTTACCATAAGAGACACCCCCAAATTAACGAGGGGCATGGCTCTAGGTGTCTACCAACACTACCAACACCATCAGCACCTTGACTTGCCACCCATCATCACACATTTCCGGCCCCCTCTCCCCGGCCCCAGTTTCCGGTTTTGCGCTTCCGGAGTCTTCCACGCTCGCACGCTACGCGCATGCCAAGGCCGAGGGAAGATGGTGAAAATTAGAATAGGGTGTGTGCCGGGTGGTATCTCATTAGCATCGTATTACAGGGAAGCTTAGGCATTGCGGAAAGGATTTGACTGGGTGATCCAGGATCCAAAAAATGCTTTGCATCGAAATTTCGATAAATTTTCTAAGGCACCAGGAACCCAGGAATTTGCTTTTCACACTTTTCTAGGCGTCTATCCGATCTGTAGTAGGTTTTAAAATATCCTGGAGCTATTTTTTAGCTTCCCGGCCCCTTGAAAGCTAAGCTGAAGCTGAGCATTCGCTTTTGACAATGCCAAAATAGTATAAGATGCCTAGCAAAACATCAACCTTCTTCGAAAACCATCATTAATGCGCTGATATTGCAAAGGTCCTTTTTTCGTTTCACAGCCCCTTTAAAATCCCCCCCCCCCCAGTAAAATTTGCATAAACTATCAAAAATAGATCGTTCTCATTACGTCCACCCCGGTTCAAATTCTCCTCCTGACCCGATTTCTCGGCTTCTCGGCGATTTTTGCGAAATTTCCCCGTTTTTACACTTGGCCGCACCCCCCGGCCGCCCCGGTGAACAATGAGTAATTTGGCATCCAGGGCCAGCAAAAATTCAGTCCAAAAAATGGCCACCATCAGTAGGGGGAGGCGGCTAGAGAGGTGTTCGTTATGGTGGGGGATAACTAGCCGGGGTGACTGCATCTAGGTCAGCTAATATAGAGCTGTGCCAAAATGAGGGACGATGGATTTAAGAGTGAAATTTTGAAAACATAACTCCTAGAATTTGGGTTTGAATATTCTTAAATTGTTATTAAATGCCAGGATCGATAGTTACTAAAATTTATTTACATGTCCTCCTTAGTCATTTCAAAACGGGAGCCAAGGAGAATGTTCTGGATTTCCTGGGGGCTTTGCATAAATCGGGCGGCGAAAACAAAAGCTAATCCTGAAGATTTGCCAGAAAGGGGATTGATGGCATTTACTGGGAGCTTGTGCAGTAACGGGGGAGGCGCATTAAGATTTTCGAAGCTGAATAAACTTAATAAACCTTGTTTAGGTAGAACACCGCTCATCAGGTTGACTATAAATTTCTCTGATTACGGACGTATCGCTTCTCCGAAATTTACTAACAACGCTTCAAGGTATTTTAATTAGTTCCCATTAAGTCACACAAACCTAGGCACCAACCTGTCCTCTCGATTCCTCCTTCCGCCCATGCTTGACCTCGACGACAAGGCTGGTGATGGCGACTTCGGCGAGACCAGTTGAGAACTCTGACCCAACGTCGGCCCGAGTCCACTCGAAAATTGAGCACCAGCAGCCCCGATTGGTCGTGCTCCGCGCGGGAACTTGTAGATGGGGATAGGCGGCGGCGAACGGGGTTCGGATACGGTAGCGAGGCTGACGGAAGCTCGGGAATGCCCCGGGGCATAGAAGGGGGCTGGACCTCCGCGCATCTGAAGAGAGAATATGGAATTGGCGGAGAGCACGAGATTCGGCCATCCCCCGGTCTCACCAAAGGGGGAGGGTGATGGACCGAGGAAAATATGGGGAGGGGTCGAATGTTGATGTTAAGAAGGGTTCAAGATTAAGGTATTAAAAAGTTGGGGATAAGCTAAATTAATTAGGAAAGTTCTCGAAAAATAAGCACCCACTGGATCGCCGCCTTAATGAAAAAGAAATTTCACAGCTCTAAACAGCGTAAAGTTATCACCTAAGGCTCGAAAGGTCGTTCTGGCCCACCGGGCAACAATACGGAAGCGAAACTTCGTTGCCTAGCAGGCGCTGCAAGGAGTTCAGGGGTTTTGGGTTTGCCTATGGTAATTTGCTTGCAAAATTTCAGCACTAATTCTTGCTCTCTGTCCCTGCACCTGATTCTCAGTCTCTCGTTCGCCCTCACTCTCTCGTTCTCTCTCTCTGTCTCGCCTACACCCTCCCTCTCCTATCGTTGTCTCTCTCCACTCTCGCTTTATCTCTCTCTCGCTCTCGCTCACTCTCTCACTCTTTCTATATCTTCCAAAAGGTTAATTCCCAAATTTTCCTAAACTGCAGCCGGATCTTGGCTTATAGTCTCACTTCGACTCCAGCGACTTACCCCAACCCACTCTCCAAATGCTACCAAACCCGAAGTACCACATAGAATTCATTAGACGGAAGTGCGCCCGGAGCTTTGCTGCCGCGGCTAAGCTCCCCACTGAGAACCCAGGAATTGTGGTCCACCCCTCGCACCTGAGCACCTTCTCCTCATCCGGATCCGCCGAAATCCGGCGCGCTAAGAATGCCACGGTGGCCCCAATTTCCCTAATATTGGGCAGATGGAGACGGTGGATTTTTAGAAATGGCGAAAAACTTGAGTCATCAAAGTTGGGCTTACGGATTTGGTATTGCAGTAAACAACGTGACCGTACTTTTTGACGTGCTTTAAAAAGACTGGCAAGGCAGGACTGTGGATGTTCCAGGATGTGGATTTTTCATTGGCTTTGCGGGCTTTGCCACGACACGCAACGTGCCTAAAAATGTGGAAACCATAGCTACAAAATCTCCTCTTTTGCCTTGTCCGTCCCTTTAAAGGTAACGGCAAGTCAGAATATGTTTCGGTATTTTTGAATTGAAAGGGTACGTAATTTTGAAGCTTCTGAGGCGGCGTGAAGCCGTAAGCTTGTAATATTTGCGGGAAAGCCTCTTGGAGCTAGCGTGTCAGTTCCTGGAAAATAACAACCCAATCTTCTACCTTGATCTCAACAAATTTTTGGCTCATTTCTGGTTCCCCAGCTCCTTCAAATTTTGTATAAAAATGATCATGGAAAGTGCCGTCCTTGCAGTAATAGTGAAACATACAAAAAGGTACGGCAAACTCGGCTTCAATACGCCGGAACTCTTAAATATAAACGACGTTCCTATTCTGCAAAAAATTTACTTTGGAGTTTTTCCAGTATAGTTTAACTCCAAGGAATAACCTTTCACCAGGCCCAAATTCTAATCTTTACCCCCAAAGTTCTTTGCACCATTTTAATCTTATTTTTAATCCCTTAGCAAATCCTGTAGCTACGTTCCAATCCTATCTCCATTTCCACCCAAATCCGCAAATCCGACAAAAAATTTCCTGGGTTTGTGACATTTGTGCCCCGAGCTCCCTCCCGTTGTGACGAGCGACACCGGCCAACTTCTAGGGCTTCTACCTGGGCCGGAGGAGAAGCCCCGATTTCCACTCATTGGATGGCACCACCTGAGCGAGTAGATTTCTACGGCTTCTGGGTTTCCATGAGGATTCGATATCCCAGGGTTTCCGGCGCCTTTGAGGCGCCTACGAAATATTTTACCGCCAGTTGGGGCCACGGGCCGACTCGTCCTAGGCCCCGGGATTAGCAAAATAATTCTCTAAGCCGGGGATCAGCAGGAGATTTTGACTTTTGTCATTAGGGGAGGGGGGTATTACTGAAGTACGTTATGCTACTGATAAAACGGAGGATTTATCGTTAATCGGTGGGATTAATATACTAATCTGTCGGCTCAGAAAATACAGAAAATCCGCCAGAGCCGCCTTTTAGGGCCCGTCGGTAGAAATGGTATGGGCTTTCGCCCTTTGGCTGAGGCTTAGGCTTAGGCATAAGCTTAAGATTTAGACTGTGGCTTAGCATCTGCTTTACATTATAAAAACACTGGCATCGATTTCTTCTATTGCTAATTGCACGAAAATGCTCGTCTTTTTAAAGTGTCTGCTCTTCCATTATCATGGTTCGCTTCCGAAAAACTCACTAAACAGCAGTATTTCGCGAATTAGAAAACCTCGTTTTCTTGGAATTAATGTACCGTGGAGTTGAGACCTGGGCCCGAGGCGGCTTTTGATTGGAATCCGCCCCGAGACAATCGCCTCAATAGGTCGGTTATTCGGGTGAAGAAGAATAGCCGGATTATCTATCGTTTGAGAGGGGTAGTATGTTCGCGACAACTCCTAGGGAATCGGGGCTGCACTTCGGCATGGTTTCCGGAAAGTTCGTACTGACGGGTTAGGTGATAGTTAAATGTACGTAATATCAAGGAAATTTCGATAACTTAATAAAGCAAGTTAATGCACCAAAAACACTTACATTTAGGTCAAAATAAGGAGAGAAACGGTAAGATCGATTAGCAAATCTATTTGTGCCTCATAAAAATCGAGTTATCGCGTCTTTTTTTAGCTTAAAAATCCCTAAATCCACCTGAATCTTTGAGCCATCATATTTACAGGTCCCCCAGAGGCTGGGGTACGGTAATAAAAACCCTAGATTTTACAAAACATAGAGTTAAATCTAAAACCCACCATTCCGCGCCACGCGTCGCCGGGCAGATCCGCGTTTTCTTGAAAAATTCGCGCGAACCAAACGGCCGACAACAAATATCCGGATCGGCAAGAAGGGATAGATCCTAAAGGGCCACAAAAAACGGCTAAGGACCCTAGGGATAAAGGGGCGGAGCTTATGCAACGGGTAGGCGAGCGAGGGAGGAGGTCGACCCTTGACCCTCGTTTCGGGGGTACTGTAGCCGGGGAGAGAGAGAGACAGAGAGAGAGAGACAGAAGAGAGATGGCGCGCCTCCTTTTTCGGTTCTCCACAAAAAGGCCCCCTTACGCATAACTATTTGCATAGGAAATTAGCGCCTAGCACATAAAAGGAGGGTTCGAAGAAGGTATTCTTTTTGAAAAAAATCCTTCCACGAAAATTTTAAAAATTGCGTTTTGTAAAGTTGTTTTGATTAAGTTTTCATTGAACTTAATTTTTAGCTTTTCCGAACGTTCCACTATCTACGTGCGCGCGAAAAAATGACTAGTTTCGATCAGGAAAGCATATCCGACCTGAAAATCCCCAAGACAATGGCCAAGGCATCTAGCACCTGTATTCTAAAAACCTGTGGTATCAAAGGAGTATTCAAACTGGATGATTAAAAAGATGAAGATTTTGGCCCTTCGGGAGTTTGGCCGTAATATGTTTCAAATTTTTTTAATTAATTTTGGCCGTCGGGATGTAGACACTAATTTTGGTTTTTAATTCTTTTCCAGTTGCTCATTCTAAAAAAGGCTGTATTGTTTTTTTCTAGCTCTCTGTCCACCTTATTTTGCCACCTGTTTAAAAATCTATAAAACCTAGCAATGTTTTTGGCTTCGCTTTGCCGCCTGATCCGCTTACAAAGAAGTCCTCCCTCCCTCCACACAGCTTACCGGCATATGCAAATATTGCTTTTTTGGAGCCGATCAGATAATTACATTGGACTTGGGGCGGATCAGGTGGATTTGGATTGGCTCGGGGCAGAAAGTGGCCCCGGAAATCCGCTGACGTCACGGCAGTTGTTGGCAGCTTCCGGGTCCACCATCTTAGGGAAGCCGTACAATGGGTAGTTTGACAAAATCTCGAATTACAAAATCTCGAATGACAAAATCTCGAATGACAAAATCTCGAATGATCAGAATCTCGAATGATCAGAATCTCGAATGATTAGAATCTCGAATGATCAGAATCTCGAATGATTAGAATCTCGAACGATCAGAATCTCGAATTTATAGAATCTCGAATGACAGAATCTCGAATGACAAAATCTCGAATGGTCAAAATCTCGAATGAACAAATCGCGAATGCCAGGATTCCCACTGTATCCTAATCTAGTTTCGTCTGGCTCGATCCAGCATCGATTTTTTTTGTATTAGATAGAAGCTAGTAGGCTGTGAGTAGGCCCTGCCGAGGGATGGTCCTTTTTGAGCATCATACTTTACAAATGATAATGAAGAACATTAGCGTTAAGTCGAAAAATTTGTTTTTTTTCGACGCAAAGGGCTCAAATTCTTTCGATCTTTATTTTTTAGATAGTGTTGCCACAGCTATTGATTGCCAAAACCTCCATAGAAAAAGTTTGGGTTCAATTACTGGGCCGCTAGTGGAAATTTTCATCCAAACTGTGTTCAGCTGAATCGAAGTTTTGTTCATTCGAGATTTTGACCATTCGAGATTCTGTCATTCGAGATTCTGTCATTCGAGATTGTGTAAATTCGAGATTCTGATCGTTCGAGATTCTAGTCATTCGAGATTCTGTTCATTCGAGATTCTAATCATTCGAGATCTTGTCATTCGAGATTTTGTCATTCGAGATTTTGTAATTCGAGATTCTGATTGGCAAGCGTACAATGGTATGGAATCGGTACGGTAATCTTGAACGGAGAAGCTTAGGCTTCGGCTTCGGCTTAAGTCAGACTCAGGGTTCGGTTTTAGGCTTAGCTTTGAGGCATAGGGTTGGGCTTAGGCTTGAGCTTTGGCCGAAGCTTACGCAATCATATGCAATCCTCAACGCCAATTTTAATTACATTCTGGCCTGTGAACGCGATTTAATTAAATTTAGCGAAATTAACTTGTGCTACGGCGATGGAAATTCATTTTCTATAAAATACATAGCAATAAAAGCTCTATATATCGGTTAAAAAATAACAAGAAATTTAATAAAACAGAAACTTAAAACATTTGTTGCTTTTTCTTAGATGGTATTGATAGAATCTATGCCAGAATTTGCATAAACGATAAGCAAAATTGATGCATTTTCTTTGCCGTGAGATTCCAACCGCGATGACCTGAAGGTTAGTGAGCACAAAGATGGGCATCACTTCCAAATATTGCCCAGGGCCGACTATCCGAAATATCCTGAGGCGATTCCGGGTTGAATGGACCCTGCCAGCCATCCATCAGCAAGAACGGCAACCCAGGCCTTCGCATCGCCTGCGGGCACGCACGGCTAAATAGCGCTAATCTGACGATGGCTTTTAAATGGACCGACAGTGGAGACAATGCAAAATAGCCGGAGGCAACTTTTGGGGAGGACTTGGAGGTCTGGCGTATAGTTTTGGAATTGGAAAGGGTCTTCCAGAGTAGAAAAACTATAGGTAAAGGGCATATTGGCCTTAAAGGGGCTCTTTCAGCAGCGCAGTTCTGTTCATAAATCGTGGAAAACGAAGCTGCTGAAAGTCCCCCTTGAAATTTCTTTTCTTTTCCTTTCACCCAGAACGAAAAAATCCCGAGTTTAGCCATAGCTTCAAGCCTCCGAACTTTTCAAAAGCCAGGTTGCAGTTTTCTGTAAAATTTTGCTGACATTGTTTTTCAACAAAACCTGGTTGCGCTGTCCTGTAGTCTAGGGAAATACTTCGGCACTGTTTCCCCCCACAAACAGCGAAAAGTTTTGTAGTCTACAATCTCCCGGCCATTGCGGCTTAGCCATCGTCTTCGGGCTGAACTTACAAACCTCGGGTCAATCCATCGACTTAAGGATACTGTAAGTCCCATCCTGTAAAGTCATCAAATCGCCGCGAGCACGTGGTGGATTTGACGGGCCGGTACGATAGATCTGCCCGGCCATGTGGTGCAGGATCTTTTTGTAATACTTTGTATAACGAAAAAATGAGGGGTGAGGGATCCTAGAAAATGAAAGATTCAGGGGTCGGAAATTTTTGGAAATTTGAAATTGGCGATTCGGTTAATTTGATAAATAGTATGTTATATATTGTAAGATGGCGGGTTTGTGGATGGCTAGTAATAAAAATTTGAATTATGGCATTTAACTACCGTATACTAATAATTCATATTTTGTGAAATGAAATAAAAAAAATCGGGATAAACCACTTGAAAAATTGATATAATAATTTTCCGATAAACGCTGGTTTCGAGATAATAACGTCGTTTCCTTACCAATTTTGAGAATTTTAGTTGGAGTCTGATCTGGAGCACTAAAAAATTAAAACTTTTCAGAAATTCATTCCATTGAAATGCATTTATCGGTTTCTAATTTTATTGTGAGCACCTGCTCACTTGCCCCTCAATGCCAATTTGTAGATACGATCTTTCTGATGATGAGGAGGATGGTTATGGACATCCGTCCGTCTCTTCCTCTCCTCAAAAATTGTCTCCGCACCCAGGCGCTAATCCCTTGCCCTGCACCTGCACCACCGGGCGTGGAGCCCTGTCGGCGTTTCCTTTTTGGGCATGCTCACGCACGGGACATCCGCCGAAAAATTTTGTAAAGGTTGGAAAAAAGGATTTGGGGATTTTTGGAGCCGCAGTAATCTACAAGATCGTTCCAAAATTGATAAAAAATTGGATAGTAGGACCTGAAGATTGCATTTTCTTTTCCGGCAAACGCTCAATCAAACCGGAGTTGTCTTTTTTGCTGAACATGAATCATGTTTTTACTGCTGCAAATTGTTCGAGCTTTAGAGCACTTAGTCGACACTATGTTTAACCGCTGCGCAGCAGTGATGAAAATATGGATATGGTTTACTCTACCCCCGGAGCCGGAATGTTTGGCTATAACTTTTTCATTTTACACTATTGTAGGCTCAAATTGAAACTCTTAGTTTGTTTTTTTGACGCTCTATCGAATGGCTTCGAGAAAATCCCGGCAAAATCAGCGAGAACACCGAAAATTTTGAGACCTTACGACTGGGGGGGAAATTAAACTCGGCTTAAGTGAGGTTCACCACACCAGCCGGCCCGCGACTAGCGCATCTCGGCTCCCTGCTGATCTACAGGTGTGTAAAGTATACCAAAATACTCGCGAGGGCAAGACGAACATTTTGGTATACTTTACACGCCTGTAGTTCAACTGGGAGCCAAGATGCAAAAGCAGGAATTGCCCGCTGAGGAGATAAACTGCACTCTAACCTTAAACTCTTACCGAAATTATAAACACAGCTATTTTCCGCTCGGATTTTGACTTGCTGGTTTAAAAACCATCCAAGCATCAGCTTCAAAGCATGGCGCACTAATGAATTGAGCTTTTTTAATCTGATCCTCGTAAAACGACATAATTGAATTTGAAATTTCACTAAATATCAAAATTCAGATTTCATACCGTTATATTTTAAGCAAAACGGAAACCATCAAAACACTGATCACTCGTAATCAGTCATATTTTGGAGCTCCTCCTTGCCAGACCGAAACCGTGTTTACCAGCGCGTTGCCCACAGAAAATGGAGGATCGATCAGCCAAAATCAGAAGCACACGCCGCTTATCAACTCCCTCACACAGCAAGCAACAACCCTAATCCCCCCAATTTCTCTAAATTCCCTAATTTATTGCCGTTTTTGAGGCCACTTTTTATATCTTAATAAACTTGAATGGAATTGTCACTAGGTAAGTAATTTTGGGAAAATTAGAAGCGCTTTTTCTATTTTTTTCAGAGCTCGTGTTCGGTCTCATGTTCATCGGCATCGCCGCCGTGCTTTTGGCTTCAATAAACTGGGCGATCGTCAAGGGGTTTCACCCGGAATTGGAAAGGCAACCATTATTAAAAAATAAGCATGCCGTTTTCGACATAATATGAATAAATCGTAAAAATTACTAGTCCCGCGCAGCAAACGTCGAAGATTTTCATCAGGCAGCTCTTTAGATCCAGAAAAGGACGCCCGGAGTCCGGAATCTGGGGTTTGACGCTGATTTTTGACAGCCTTTTCTGATTCAATTGGTGATTCACGAGCGGGCGTCGAACAGCAGCGGATTTTGACGTTCTAAAATCCACTTTTCATCTTTATTTTCGAGTTTTAAATGCTAAAATTGTTGTTTATTTGCTTGGTGTTTGCCCTTATAGGGCTGGTTGCTGGGCAAGGAGGTATAAAACCCTATAAAAATCCCATATGGACTATTTTGATAGATTGCCAAAATTGCGGTGATGTTGTCGAGCCGTTGGGCGGAGCCGGTTCGATCGATTTTGCAGACAATCGAATCATGTAAACCTGCTCTTCCTAAATTCTTTACGAAATCAATCAATAGCAACAATTTTGGCTGCGCTTCATGGATGCTAACCTGCACTAATGAAAATGTTTTTGCCACGATTTTGGTATTTTACGCAATTTAAAGCAGCCTTAAAGTTGTAAAATATTTTTTAGATGAATGGGAAATCCAAAGAAGGCTTCGAAAGCCAAATTCAGTCTCTGTAGAGCTAAACTGCAACCAACATGGACGGTGGACCTATAAAAACCAAATTATCAAATCCATTGGTTGCTTTCAAGATTAAAAATAAATGTTTTATACCGTAATGAATTCAACACTTTATTTGCTTCACATTAATGTGCAGGCGCATCACTAGCGCGTAGCCGATCACACCTGAAAAACAGAAAAAAATTGTCGTGTTCTCGGAAATTTCGAGGCCAGTTTCAAAAGTTTTCAGATTTTGTACAAATAATTTGAAATTAGTATAATATTTAAAGATTTCGGGCTTAGAAAATGCGGATGAAGTGAAATATACGTTCAATATTACCCAAAAAAACGAACCATCTGGGATTTCGCCATGTTACATCCAATCGGTCCCAAATTTGCGTGAATTGTTTCGGAAAGAGCAATTAAAGACGAGCATTTTGGTATATAAACGGCTATAGCAACTTAAAAGGCCACGAACACGAACATACACGACTTGAAAGATGGAACCTAATGAGGCCCATACTAAAGGATCGCCCCACTCTCGCCGAAACCAAAAAAGTTGTTGTATACGAAAATGCTTGTCCTCAGTTGCTCTTGCAAGTCCATAGAAGAAACTTGCGCTCCCGGTTGAATCCGGCCTATTGCCACAAAAACAAAAATTTCTTTGTTAAAATGGACTTTTGCAAAAAAACTCCGTGAAACCTTTGGAGTCAAACCAAGTATTGGAACCTCCGGTACACTTAATTGCTACTTTATTGAAATTAAAAAAAAATCCGAACGTATGTTTTTTGCAGAAAAATTCGGGGTGAACCTATCTTTATGACGCGGACTGTATATAACTATGCAAAGGGTGTTTGACATTTGAATTTCCAGTGCCGCTTTGAGGCCTGTAAGCAGTTTGGAAGGCTTTTCGACCTAGAAAATTTAATTTAATTCGTTTGAAATAACTGGTACTCGCATGCAAATATTTTCAATTTTTTTCATTTTTTAACCAAGTTTAACAGAATGTCATGCGAAAGTAAAGTTGAGGGACACTTGCTGTAAATGGCGAAATTCATCGTTCTTCCTAATCTTTGCACACCTGGGTGGCACTGGGTCAATCGGCCGTGGCTGCCGGCTAAGGAATTTGGCATTTCGGTTAGCGGGCGACTGGTGAAAATCCTTATTTAAAAAGCTGCTCGCCAGATTTGCGCCCCTATAAAAGTGGTTTGGTGGCCTGATTCAAATCGCTCTCAAATCCGTAGCATGTCACTACCAACTACAGTGATCTTTTGCGCTATCCTCGCCGTAAGTTATTGCAAGCTTCATCAATTGTCGGTTTTTTGAGGAGAAAGCAGCTTACAAGCACCTTTTCAGCTGACTTCGGCGGTGTGTCCGGCGGTGGAACCGAATTCGAATGTTGTGTCCCTCGGACGTGCGTGATAATATTAGTTTCTAATCTTTATGTTACCATTCAGCGGCCATCGACGGGACGTGTTCTAACGGCTTGCTGTGTCTGAATGATCCGCGCTACGGAGATTACTGCTACCGGGCCCCGTCTGTTGGACGTAGGTTTAAAGGCATTTCTAGGGTTACAACCCTTCATACTTTTATACAGGCTTAAGTGCAGTTTACCCCCCTTCCGGCTCCCCGACACTTGAGCCGCCGACACTTGCGCCGCGACGCAGGCGCTGTGACACATGCGCCGCGACATTTGCGCCGCGACACGTGCGCCCGACATTTGCCCCGCGACACTTGCGCCCGACATTTGCGCCGCGGATCGTAAATTGATTTAAACTCTAGTGAATTTGGTATCTCGCCCAAATTTTGTAGGTAATTACTGTATTTTGCATTAAAACTTGACTGGAAGTGAGTAACGCCAATCCGGAGCGCTCCTAAAAGGCGTCAGGCAAGGTGGGCCGTCGCTTCGGATGGCACGAAGCCTTTTTCTAGTCGCAGAGCGGAAGAAGTAACAAATACCTTCCCTCCAAATCGAGTAACTCCTAGCGCAAAACCATCTTTCTAACGTTTCTTTAACCAGAATCGGACTCCGGGAGAAAAATGGCATCTTCAAGTAGCCGAAACTCAGTGTCGCGGCGCAAATTTCAGGCGCAAGTGTCGCCGCGCAAGTGACGCGGCGCAAGTGACGCGACGCAAATGTCGCGGCGCAAATGTCGCGGCGCAAGTGTCGCGGTACCACCCCGAAATCGGTCGAGGTCCGAAAAATTCATAAGGGGAGACCCTTATGTTTTTTTTCGCAACAATTTTTCTGCCTGCGGCGCTGTTTATCACTGTTTCGAAACGATTTTTACTCCTAAAAAACCTATTTTTCTAAAATTTTTTGCGTGCGGCGCTCGTTTTCCTTAGTGCACCATTTTTGCTGAACAAAATTTCGCTTGCGCGCGTCGTTCCCGATGTGTTTTCACACGAATTTAAGCGTTACAAACGCAGTTTTATAAATTTTTTCGCCGGCGGCGCTGTTATTGTCGCTATTTTTGAAAGTTTTGAAAGTGGGGACCGGGGTCGCCAAAGAATTTTTGGGTGGGTGCCCCGAAGTCGCGGCTCCCGTACGGACCTGCCTGTAGATGAACAGGGAGCCGAGATACAAAGGTTGGGTGCCGGCTGGGGGGTAAACTGCACTCTAACCTTTATACAATCTTTCCCATTATCGGCTATACCTAACCCTGTGTCCTTGGTGACTTTAAGCAGCTCAAACCGAGAAAACTGATCAAAAAATCGAGCGACAAATTCCTTCTTTTCCTGACCCACATTAGGGATTTGGGCAGTCAGGAAAATCTAAGCACTTTCGATTATAATCGTTCCTTTCGACTAATTTAACAATACCGTAAATTAATTAGAGGCAATACGACCATTCCACTTACACGTCAGAACCCAAGCTTTAGCGTGTGTCTCCGACCAATGACCCTGCCCC